TGAACTTGAAAATTGTATTTCTAATTTACTATATATTGGAATATCTGGAATCAGTTTTGAAAAGATCATCAATTTGGAAAAAGTTCAGCAGGATATGAAAAGTGAAGCATATGTTGAAATAAAACAAAGGATGGCATTAATTTTTTAAAAAATTTACTTGAAAATGTGTTTAAGAAATTACTCTTTAGAATACAATGCAGCATTAGTACCAAAAATCATCTAAAAACTGATTTAAAGAGTCATGTCAGTGTAGTCAATCAGGATAATTCAACATAAAACAAATTTCCCTCAGAAACAAATTTGGTTGGTGGAGAGGAGCAGGCACACAAGAATGTTCTTGATAATTATTTAAACTCCTTGTATTGCCTGTAGATTAAATGTTCAAAAAGGTGCAAAAAAATATTTATGAAAAACTTTAAAAGAAATATTTTATGTATAAGTGGATAAAATACTTTTGTGCTTATGGAAATGGAATCATAATTTTTCATCAATACATTGATGTTTGTTTAGAAGCTAAAAACGTATAGAAACAGGATAGAATTCGGGTATTTATTAATTACATCTGATAAAAAATTACAGCTCAGTTCCAAAAAACTAAGATTTCTGACCTAGGGATCCTGGGAAACTATGAAGTCAAAATTGTTTTCATAATAATGCTAAGATATTATTTACCTATTCACTTTCGTAAGTGCTCAAAGGAGTTTTCTGGAGGCTATGTGACTTGATATTACAACAGATTGAATGAAGAAGCAAATTCAGTAGTCCAGCTGTTTTCTACCATGTATTTAAAAGATTTGTAAAAGTGTAAAAGAAAGCTACTCACTAAATTTTTATTTGTTTTAGAAAGGTTTAGAAACGTTATTTTGCCTAAAAATATTAGTTACGTATTGAGTTTATTATTTGAAGTTTATTAAACTTCAAAATAAGTATTTTGAAGTTTTCTTAGACTTAATTTCAAATAGGCTAAAGACACGTAGGACTATTTATACAAACAAAATCTCTGCAGTCCTCAATATTTTGGATGTAAAAGGGTTTTTTTACCAAAAAAGTTTGATAATAGCTGAAGTAGTTTTATTTAGTCAACATTTTTTAGTACTGTGGCCACTAGCCACATGAGGCTACTGAGTATATGAAATGTGGGTGAGAAACTGAATTTTTAATTTTTAAAAATTTAAATGTAAAAACTGAAGCAGTGGAAAACTTTGTTGATTACATGTTGAAGTGACAATATCTTGGATATACTGGGTTAATGAAGGGTATTAATTTCACCTGTTTTTTTACTGTGGTTATTGGAAATTTAAAAATCATATGTAACTCAGGTTATATTTTTATCAGACAGCTCTACTTTAGAAAATAATTTTATTCTCTTTCCCTTTTAAACCTTATAGCACAACTATTGATTAGAAAATCAAAGGGGAACAGGTGAAGATGGAGTGTCCCAGACTCTTACAGTTTCCCTCTTTTCATGGCATTTGTTTGTATTCTTCACTCACCTGTTATGTTACAGCTTTGGGGCATTAGAGGATGAGGTGTGGTAAGAGGTGGGTCTGGTAGTTGAGTAATGACCTTGCTTGTAGGGAAATACCACTATCACCTAATGAAGTGTTTCCTAATTTTTTTCCATTGCTCTCAAATTAAATTGCTATTAATTTTTATTTTTGACTTTAAGAACATTGTTATGAACTAGATCCATTGCCAGCATTCTCTTGCAAAGCTGAGAGGTATGTCTCTTGTCAGACTTAATTACCAAGTTTGGTATTTAGTAACAGCTGTTGAGTGAGTCTGGAATAGTCTACTATACAAACACCAGTTGATTAGAAAGCTAGGAATGGAACAAGAAGACTCTTACCAATAGTAAAAGAAGGCATAAGCAAATTTAATGGTACTATGATTAAAATTAAGATAGTTTTGAAATTTATTTGATAACATTTATTTTTCAAGGAGTATTAACCAGCAACACCAACTACTAGTGTTAACTAGAAAATATCTCTTAGATTACTTTTGGCGTCATTGTTTCTATTTTTAAAATGAGTTGTTTATTATTTCCTTTCATATTTTTCTAGAAAGACACCAGTAAGTCAGGATTTAAGTACGAAAAAAGGAATTTTCAGCCCTTGCTTAGAGTTTGCTTACTTTGATTGCACAACACTGTTATATTCATGTTTATCCTTAAGAGTTATGCAAAATTTTTAGTTTAAGTTGTGTTTGAATTATTGAGAATAAGTAGTATTTAAAATTTTTTTTTAATTACTTGAAGAAACTTGAAGAGAAATATTTCTTAAATTTCTGTTATAAAAAACGGCTTGTTGACTTATGTCAATGAAAAAAAAGAGAGTGCTCACTTTCACAAAATGGGTGAAATGTTCTTGGAAACTATCATGGGCACATTATTGTAAATTGATCTAAGTGTGAGTTCTTGGGTATTCATTTTTTAAAATTGTGCTGAGGGTTATATTAGTATATAAAAATGACAAAATCAGTAAGCATCAAAAAAAGAAATCAGTGCTCTTTTTGACAGACTTAGCTTACAGAGTAACTTTAAATTAATTTTGCACTTTCATTTAGTTTTGAAATATTTTACTTCCATTTACATTTTGTCATTCTCTGACCTATTAGTTTAAGCTTCACGAAGCCAGTAATCTAGTCACACTTGTCTCTCAGTTTTACAGCATAGGGTTGCGATAAATGCTCAACAACCATTTGTTGACTGTACATAAGAGTATTAGATCTTCTGATTGATACTGCATAGAAAATTTATGCATTTTCTACATTCTCATCCTAAATTTAAAGTATGAATAAATCTTAAGTTTGTATGTATTTTGTTTTAATCTTAAATACAAAGTTTCTTGAAAATATAATAAATAATATGTTGAGGTCAGAAATATAATAATAAGCAAGAAAGTAATTTCCACTGACATAATTAATACAAAATTCTGGTTTTGAAAATGTACCCCAAACTGTAAGAACTCGGCAGCATAATATATGACTGCTTGGCAACGTTTATTTTGTTTATAACTTGAAAATCTGATAAAATTCTTTTGCTGTATTATCAAATGCTTGAAACTCTAATTTTAATATGGTAGTTTTTAGGGTATGTCTTAATGCAATTACATAAGGAATTAGTTTACCCAGGATGGTTTATTAATAGCCCCTAAGACAACAGCTAAATTGCAACACAAGCAGACCTTGAAGAGAATGAAGTTCCTAGTATAAATTTTAAAAACCTGAGAATTTGGTTACCAGGGTTCTTTAGTGTATGTGAGTATTATAGGGAGGTACTTTGAAAAAAAATACTTGAGAATTGTAATATATTTTATACTTACTAATACTAAGTTTCTTAAAGTTGAGCTGGAAGGACTGACTGAATCCTTTGCCTCGGTGAAGCTGCAGATAAGAGTAAGCAGGGTCACCTAAAGATAGATTTACTTAGAGGTTTGGCTGCCTCTCTGGAACCAGTCAGCTTTGAACAGATTTCCATAAATGGAAAGAGCAACTGGAGAGACCCAGTACCTTGGTTGAGAGTGTGGGTGATGTGCAACAGGTGGTAAAACAGTCACTGGGTTTTTTAATAAACGCTCTCTAAATGCCTGGTGTTAAAGGCTGAGCATTTGGGGAATTTTGAGACTAAGTAGATTTTTTTTCAATTAAAAGTTTCCTGGAAACAGTTTTAAAAGATTTATATCTTTAGTGTGTAGAACTTGTGAATTTGTAATATGGTTTTATGGAATTTATATAAATATTTCCTTTTAGTTCTTTTAGAGGATTACAACCTGTTACATAATCATGTTTCAGAATCTTTTACCAAGTAAAACATTCAACATTTTAAGTTGGGATGTGAAATTAATATTTTGTTAAGATACTGAGTTTGTGCTTGAATTGCCCATTTTCTTGTAAGGTCATTGGGTTGTTCTTAATTTCAATACATAAAAGACATACTTTCATGCCTACTGTATAAAAAGTCTCTGTTAGGAACTAAAATAGATATAACGATGAATTAATATAGCCCCTCTGATCTCAAAGAGTTTATATTCTTACAGGAGTGATAAATTTTCACCATTTATTGAATTCTTATCTATGTGTATGTTTTTTTATGGGAGTCACCTCACTTTGTTCTTACAACTGTAATGAGGTAAGGAATACTACTGCTTTGTGAAAGAGGAAACTTAGCCTTACAAGAAATTAAATTGCTGGCCTAGGGTAACAGACATTATAAGTGGCAGAGACTAGAACCCAAGCTCTTATACCTGGAAGGCCAGACCACTGCTGTACACTTTACTGCTTCACAAATAATTCAATCAGCAAAACATAAAATAAGTGCAAGGAGAGAGTTAAAAAGGTAGTAAAATTAGAGAAAGCTTCATGAAAAGAAAAAAAAAAAACACCATAAAAACTTTTAAAAAGTTTCTTGGGCAACACCCAGCAAAGTCCAGTGAGGTCCTGAAGGAGAGAGAGCAAGGTTATTGTGAAGAAAATCCCCATGTGCTTTGCTGCAGCTAATGCACTCACCCAGGACGGTCTGTAGGAATTGAACTAATTCATTAAAGTAACTTAGAAATATGTGTTTCTGACTGATTCTGATACCATTACCCCTGATTGTAGTAACAGTATATTAAAATATATAATTGACTTTATAGGATTGTTAATCCACAACTATCCTTTTTCTCCCTAGGTTAGTTTTGGCCTAAAATTGATACCGGTTTAAAATTTCAAGAGTTTTTCTTTGTTTTCCTTTGGATAAGATTTAAGAACTTCTCAGTAATTTTTAGTCACTCTTAATAGTTGCTTTATAATCAACATTTATTTTACAAAGTGAGGATATTAGATTGTTTTGGTGTTTAAAATATCTCTATAAATAATTTATATAAACTAATGTGTATCAGTGACAGAGTTATGCACATGAGAGTTAATTTGTATTTATGTCTTCTACAGCAGTGTTTTAATTTAGTAATGTGTTCAGTGCAAGTGCATTTTTAATTGAATAGAACTTATTTTCCCCCCAGTGGAAGCATCAGTTCATAGCAGTAATGCACACTGTACAGATAAGACAATTGAAGCTGCTGAAGCCCTGCTTCATATGGAATCTCCTACCTGCTTGAGGGATTCAAGAAGTCCTGGTATGTGAACTGCTGCCCTTTTTTATATTAAACCTGTCACTACTTTGTGTATCTAGAATGACTTTTTAAAAAAAAAAAATACAAGGGGATTGTTGGTGTTCTCAAGATTTGTTATACATGAATACCTGTGACAGCAGTAATTGATATTTAGTTGTCAAAGTTCCCAATTCTTAAATACTTAATTTTTGTATTAGGTGAATGCCCACTATAGATAGACAGAAGTTTATTAAGTTGCAATTTATACTGTCATGTCTTGTTTCCTTAACTCTGGGTGAATGTATAAACCTTTGTACATCAGTCCTTAAGCGAATGGCAGATGGGGACAGTTGCCTCCTATGACCACTTTCAATTTATTGATAAATAGGCAGTGGCTCCAGGGAACTGTCCATTGTGGAAAGAGGAGGAAACTTCCAGCATTTCCTCACACTCCCTTCAGGCTACGAGTTTTCATTTTCTTTTGGGCCCCTTTTTTCTTCAAGTTTGTCTTTGAAAGTTCTGTTGTCCTGATTTTCATTTGCCCTCATTTTAATCAGATGTTAATTTGGCTTGATACCATAAGTTTGGATTTTCTTATAGGGTTTTACAATAAATACTAAGAGCAACCAGACTTTTAAAGTAGAATAGGAATCCTATGTATTCACAAATATGAGAAGAAAATCAGGACATATTGGTCAGTGTTAATCCATGAGAGTAGGTATTAACTGTCTCTTAATTGAAATAGAAATGCCATCCTGATGATTTATGCCCATTGAAAGAAAGCCAGAATGACATTATTGTGTGTAATAGAGGGCTAAATAACAACCTATGTGTACCGTTTTAGTGACCCAAGATTCAGGGTTGCTCCATTAAATAAAGTTTTATATATTTAAAGATGATATTCATTGGGCTGTAATGAGCAGATTTTCTTTTTCTTCATATTTTAAAATGAATTGTGAGTGCTTGCTTATCACTGAAATCACATTTATTAAGTGTTTTAAATTTTATACTATGTGCATGAATTAACTAGTTAGAGAATAATTACCGGTACATGGAAGGAAAGTAATTATTAAAGAACTCATTTTATTTTCAAATATTTTCCCAGTTGTCAAAATAATGCAGTCTTCAACAACGAGCTTGAAAATACAGGGTGGGGAAAAAGTAGGTTTACAGTTGTGAGTACTGAAAACAGAGTTTATTCTTATATTATTTATTAATTATTGTATTATTTTCCTTACAACCAACTGTAAACCGACTTTTGCCCCAATCTGTATATAAAAGTGTGAAGAACGGAAGATGACTACTCATCCCCCTCTTACCCAGAGGATTAACATTTCCTTCAAGTTGATTTTTCTTGCATTTTATTTACTTAACGTACTTTAAAAAATATATATATATATATTTATTGATTACAGAGAGTGGAAAGAAGAGAGAGAGAGAGAGAAACATCAATGATGAGAGAGTCATTGATCGGCTGCCTCCTGCACGCCCCCACTGGGGATTGAACCCACATCCGGGGCATGTGCCCTGATTGGGAATTGAACCGCAATCTCCTGGATCCTAGGTCAGTGCTCAACCGCTGAGCCATGCCAGCCAGGCTCTTACATACTTTAGATCATATTGCATATTCATCAAGTTAACTTCAAGTTCTTATCCTGTTTCAATGAATTATTAGTAAACCTCACCTCTACGAAATATTGAATTGTCCACATTAAGAAGCATTAATGGGGGTGGGAAATTTTAATTTTTCAACTTTTTTTTTTATAGTGGAAGTGTTTGTCCCTCCTTGTGTATCAACTCCAGAATTTATCCATGCTGCTATGAGGCCAGATGTCATTACAGAAACTGTAGTGGAGGTGTCAACTGAAGAATCTGAACCAATGGATACCTCTCCTATTCCTACATCACCAGATAGCCATGAACCAATGAAAAAGAAAAAAGGTAAAGTATATTTATAAATTTCTGGAAAAGTAGGTGAAATTTTTTCTGGTATCATTTTCCACATCAAGGGAAGGGATGTAGGAAATATATACTATAGATCTGTGGTTGATGTTTTCTTAACTAGATATTCTCATAGAATCAACAAATTGAGATTTTAATTTTGTATTTTAACATGTTCATACTGTTTTAAAGGGGTTAGTATTTAAGCCCTAAAAGTAGTTGCCTGAAAATGGTATTTTAATGGGTGTTGGTCACACAGAAGGAAGATCAGAGATTCATGGTACATTTGTCTTAATTTTTGGTCCTTTTGGGTACTTGGTTACTTTTTTAAAAGAAATTTAATATTTCTTTATTTTTCATAATCTTGTCTTCCTACTCTTTTGTGGGCATGAAACTAAAAGCCCAATTTTCTTCTCCACGCCTTTAAATACCAAGATAGCCAGTAGGAACTTATAAGTGAAATAAACTCATCAGTGGGTAAAGAGTATTTCCACTTAGTTGTCTCCTGCTGAGACTTCCACTCACTCACCTGATCCCGGTAGGTGGGGCACAAGACTCCAGCATATCTCCAACATCCTGAGGAGATGGGCAGCAAGTGAGTCCTTTTCCTGTTTGAATCAAAGGTAAAATTTGAAATGAAATCCTATGTAAATGGGTACTCATCTGATTCCTCTTTCTTCACATTTTAGAATGGGGGGAAAATCAAAGGCAAAAATATAGGAAACCATATTAAAAATAATGTTTTTATTTATTAAAGTATTTCAAATTCCTGTGATATTCATGGGTCTGTGCTTATTGCTGAGGGATAAAATGAAGAATAAGACAGAGTGCCTTCCCACATATAGTACATATAGATTTTATGTATCTTGAGAGAGAGATGAATGGGAGAATTTAGAAGGAAGAACCACTACTTGCTATAAATGTTTAAAAGCAAAAGTCATACATATTAATAGCCCTGTTTACCCACTGCCCACTGTAGCCTTTGGCTGTTTGTATCCAATGGGAGCTATGACAAAATACTTAAGAAATTTTTAGGTTTAAAAGAAGATGGAAAAGGCCATGAAAAGCTGGGATCATTTAGGGGACCAAGACCACTAGATAAACAGGTTGATATGTGGAATTAACCTGCCTGGTTTGATATAAACCAGGAAATAATTTGCCACTTTAATACTGACTTTATGTATTTAAAAATGGATGGTTTTATTAATTTAAGAATTACATATAACATCATTATTTGTTTGTGTTTAAGTACATTTGGGACATACAGTTAGGTAGGTTATTTTTTAATATCACGGTCTTTTGTATTTCCAGAGCTTTTAATGTGTGTTGTAAATCTCTAAGGGAACATAGCATGCAGTGTTCTAAAAGTTTTATTTGACTATAGAACCCTTTTTCCTACTGATGACAATAGCCTGTTTCTCAAGTAATATGATTTGGGAAATGCTGCTTTACAAGGAAATAAAGTAAGCCTTTATGGGCTAACCTGTCCGTTAAAGAAGTGTGGAGTTTGTGCTTTAGGAGACAGTAAAGGTGTTTGTATTATTACTGATTGGTTTGTACATATAAATATAATTTAATTTACATTGAGAAATTAAGCTCTCTTTTAACAAAGAGGCCAGTGAACTTTTCCTTTTAATTTTGGCAAAGCATACTTCTTATTGATTAGAATTATCATAGTGGAATCCTAGATCATAGTATCTATGTATTTTTATTTATTTATTTACATGTTTTTAAACATAACTTTATTGATTTCATACAGAGGAAGTGAGAGGGGGAGAGAGAGAGAGAGAGAGAAACATCAATGTTGAGAGAGTCATTGATTGGCTGCCTCCTACATGCCCCACTGGGGATCGCGCCTGCAACCCGGGTATGTGCCCTGACCAGGAATTGAACCTCAATCTCCTGGATCCAAGTTCAATGCCCAACCGCAGAGCCACGCCGGCTGGGCATTATATATGTATTTTAAAATATAAATTAAGTTACTTTAATTTAGTTCTTTATTTGGCTATAAATAGTGCTTGCTAATGAAGAGTAGAGACATCATAAATCCCAGGTGTATGGACAATCACCAAATCTGTAATAATATACAGGCATACCTTGGAGATACTGAGGGTTTGGTTCCAGACCATTGCAATGAAGCAGGTATTGCAATAAAGTGAGTGACACAAATACTTTAGTTTCTAGTGCATATAAAAGTTGTGTTTATACTATTAAGGGCACAATAAATGGCATTATATCTTTTAAAAAAATGTATATATCTTAATTAAAAAACACTTTGTTGCTAAAAAATGCTATCCTTCATTTGAGCCTTCTGCAAGTTGTAATCTTCTTGGTGGTGGAGGGCTTGCCACGATGTTAATGGCTGCTGACTGATTGGGGTGGTGTTCACTGAAGGTTAGGGTGACTGTGGCAATTCCTTAAAATAAGACAAAAATAAAATTTGCTGCATTGATTATTTCACTTGAACAGTTAGAAGCCATTGTAGGGTTATTTGGCCTAATTTCAATATTTTGTTTCTCAGGGAATAGGGAGGCCCGAGGAGAGGGAGAGAGATGGGGAACAGTTAGTCAAAGCAGTCAGAACACACACAACATTTGTCTATTAAGTACACTGGCTTATGTGGGGGTGATTTTGGCACCCCAAAACAATTAACAATAGTAACATCAAAGAATCACTGATCACAGATCACCATAACAAACATAATAATAATGAAAAAGTTTGAAATACTGTGAGGATTTCCAAAATGTGACAGAGATACTAAGTGAGCCAGTTACTGTTGGAAAAATGGTGTCACTAGACTTGCTTGACTCTAAACCTTCTGTCTGTAAAAAAAAAATGCAGTGTCTTTAAAGTGCTATAAAGCTGAGTACAATAAAACAAGTTGTATATGTATTTTATCTGAAAATACAGTATTCTCCTCATTCATGGTTTTGCTTTCCACGGTTTTAGTTACCCACAGTCAACCTAGGTCTGAACACATTAAGTGGAAAATTCAAGAAATGAATGATTCATAAGTTTTGAATTGCACAGTTCTGATCAGTGTGATGAAATTTTGAGCCTTCCCACTCTGTGCAGCCCTGGACATGAATTCTCCCTTGGTTCAGTGTCTCCTCCCTGCTGCTTATGCTCACTGCCCTTCAATCACTTAGTAGCTCTCTCGGTTACCAGATTGACTGTTGGTATCGCAGTGCTTGTGTTCAAGTCACCCTTATTTTACTTCATAATGGCCTGAAAGCACTAGAGTAGCGATGCTGGCAATTCAGATATGCCAAAGAGAAGCCGTAAAGTGCTTCCTTTAAGTGAAAAGGTCTGTATGTACTTATAGGAGAAAACACAGTGTATAGAGGGTTCAGCACTTTCCACAGTTTCAGGCATCCACCTGGGATGTATCCCCCACAGATAAGGGAGGACTACTGGATAATATATGTGAATACTCCCAACTTCTTTGTTGAGGCTTCTGTTTACCTGCCAGTATTCATTCATCAGTGCTGAGGATCGAATGCAATGCACTTCAGGCTTACGCCTTCTTTAGGGTAGAGAAGTATAGCTCTTACTTTTCTGTTCACTGTGGATGTTAGTCTGAGAGAGCCTTCTGACAGAAGCAAGGAGAAACAAAAGTGAGGACATAAACATGTATTAGACATGTGACATAATTACTTGGAAGATTTCCTTACCGTTATAATGTACCTGCATGTTTGAGGGAAATTTAAACACTTATGCTTAAATTCTGGTGAATTGATTGGCTCAGAGCAGGAGAGAGTGTTTAAAATTATATTTTTTTACCTTTTCTCATTTGAGCTCAAAGGGCTTCGCAGATTATCAGATCCTCTGCAGTAGCTAGGTAAAGCTTTTTCTAACAATACTGTAGAACAGAAAACAAAAAAAAAAATTGTAGTAGAATGTTTCCATTGCCACATTATTGGAAAAGGTTAGCAAACTGAGGCTCTGACCATATAAATAATAGGTTAGTAGTACCTGACTTGCCATATACATTGAGATCACTACCAACTAACTGCTCTAATCTAAAATTGTGGAAGTGTTTTTAATGCTCTTCTTAAATGAGACTTCTTATATATACTGAATATATTAATCTACAAATTAGTCTCCAGTTTCATGAATAATGTGTTATCAAAGAAACTGCTAATCATGCTTATTATTATTTTTAACGTATGGTTTCAATATCTTATTTTTTCAGTTGGCCGTAAACCAAAGACCCAGCAATCACCAATTTCCAATGGGTCTCCTGAGTTGGGTATAAAGAAGAAACCCAGAGAAGGAAAAGGTAATTTGGGGAGAGCTAATTTGGAGGCGAGGTGATTTTTCAGTCAGGTGACATTTTTGCATTTGTAAGAAAATTATTTCTAGTACATGCCTATATGGCAGTACTGCCTTTAGTAGTACTTAACAGGGATGTATCAGCATTACCTGGGAGCTTTTCAAACTCTATGCCCAGTCCCTACCTGCCTGAGTTTTCGTACCCATAGATACACAGGGGAAGTGCAAAGGGGTGGGTGTTTATGTTTATTTAGGAAAGGCCCTAAGTGCAATCTGATGTACACCCTTTGTAAGAGCCATTGTTCTAGAGGACATGTACATATAACAGCACTCGTCCTCATGTAGAGCCACTTAGATTGAAAGTTTACAACTAAGACTTATTTTTTATGTGTAATTTCTTAACTGATAGAAGCAGTGCAAGAAATAATTTAAGGCAAGCTGAATTTAATTTCCCAGTCAACAAATTTGAGTCATGTCAGTCAGGAATCAGAACAAAAATTTACCATTTTTTTGCGTTAGAATTTGTATATTCTCATTACAAACAAAAAGAACAACAAGCCGCCTACATTCTGTTGTCTCCTAATTTGTTGGGTAAGTGGATGTCAAGTAATATTTTAATAATGGTTTCAGGTGTGCTCTGGTAATTTGATAACTAGAAGTTGATCACTCCCATGAATAAATGTTTTCAGACCAGTATTCAATAGTTGGATCATTAAGTCTCTAAGCTTACCAAGAAATTTAGACCAAAAAAACCCAGTTACAGTGAACTTTTAATGTATTTAGTAACTAATAATTCAGCTTGGGACAGATTTAGGATACTTTTCTAAAAATATGTGTTTTTCTTGATTTCAGAGAGAGGAAGGGAGAGGTAAAGAGAGATTGAAACATCATTGATCGGAGAGAGTCACCGATTGGCTGCCCCCCTTTGGGGATGGAGCCCAAAACCCTAGGCCTGTGCTCTGACCATGGAATCGAATTATGACCTCCTGGTTCATAGGTTGACGCTCAACCACTGAGCCATGCTAGCTGTACTAGGATACTTTTATTTCCTTGTCTGTCTTTGGTCATTTTCATTTCTGATATTTTAAGTTTTATCTTTCATTTTATATGGAAAACTTTAAAACTTACGTAATAGTAGTAAATAGTTATTACTGTTTTTTAAATAATTCCCATTATCAGTGGTATCTCTGGTATTCGAAGACCTTATGCTTAACAATGAAGCAAAACTCTGTGATGGTCTGTTTTTACCAATAAAATTACCTTTCTTTAAAACTTTGGTCTTTATTAAAATTGAGGCAATATAATGCAATGTGAAGGTTAAAATTATTGAAATCACACCTGAATTAAAAATCCAGCCAGTGTTTTCTTTTCTATAGAATTATCACCACCTGTTGAGGATGGAATAAATTTGAGTACATTAATCCAGAGTGATCCAAGTATTGAATATTGGTCTGAAAACCTTTATTTGTGGAAGTGATAAATTTTTAGTTACCAGATTGCCAGAACACACCTGAATTATTATAATTCTGCATAGGCTTAATGAACTACCTGGTCTGTTAGAGAAGGCTCCCCTTTCTGAATTCTGTTTTCCTTAAAATCAGAAATAGAATTTGTTAATTTTACTTGGGGAGGGGATGATGACTATGCCAGAACAGTTCAGGATAGCCTGAGGAGTGTAGATGAGTCTGATTCAACAGATCTGGAAGCATTCAAATCCCTACTACGTACAAGGCATTGTCTTTGTTGTATAAAAAGTTCTTCCAGAATAAGTTCTCTGCTGACTTATACTATGTCTGCTCATAGTACCTGCTAATCTCCTGTTCATAATCAAAATAACATTGTCCCAGCTATACATCTTTTTATTATTATTTTTTTAATGTATCTTTATTGGTTTTAGAGAGAGGAAAGGAGAGGGAGAGAGAGATAGAAATATCAATGATGAGAGAGTCATTGATTGGCTGCCTCCTGCACACCCAACTGGGGATCGAGCCCGCAACCCGGGCATGTGCCCTGACCGGGAATCGAATCCTGATCGCCTGGATCCTAGGTCGATGCTCAGCCGCTGAGCCATGCTCGGCCGGGCCCAGCTATATATCTTGATGTATAGTAGTAGAAAGTGATGTAGTTCAAAGGCACTTTTTTCTTTTTTTAATTGATTTTAGAGGAGTGGGGTGTGGTGGGGAGAAACATCCCTTTTCAATAAATTAATAAGTGCCTTTTGATGAATTCTGATCATAGAATTTGAGCTTATATAAAAAATATACAAGTTCAAATAAATTTATTCAGTTTAAATCTGTAAATTAATATGATTCTGTTTTAGGTTCACTTTGTGCTTATTCAGTTTAAATCTGTAAATTAATATGATTCTGTTTTAGGTTCACTTTGTGCTATGCTTTATGCCTTTGCCTTTATTGAACTCAAAATCTAGGATAGGGTGATATACGATAGCACAAAATCTAGGATCTCAATTATATTAGTATCATAACTGGAGACATACGTAGGATATTATTTTAAAAATATAGCAAACAAGTATATTTATGAATTTTGTTATAATGAAAGATACTTTATATTACTTACTAGACAACACTATTTGACACTACAAAACTTGCAAATATAGTCAAGTACTTAATGACAGACTCTTAGTACATTTGTGTTTCACAAATAGTAAATTAATTGATTTTTATCCAGCACAATTAAATACTTGCTTTTAATTATGTGTTTAATTATAGTAATGAATTTAATCATTGTCTATCATTGTTTTCAAAGGAAACACAACCTATTTGTGGGAGTTTCTTTTAGATCTACTTCAAGATAAAAATACTTGTCCCCGGTATATTAAGTGGACTCAGAGAGAAAAGGGCATATTCAAGCTCGTGGATTCAAAGGCTGTCTCTAAGCTTTGGGGAAAGCATAAGAACAAGCCAGACATGAACTATGAAACCATGGGACGAGCTTTGAGGTAAGAGCACAAAGGAACAAGTTTTCAAACAAAATTTATATATCTCTTTCTATTGTCAGCTGTTTGAAGAGAAGCTGTAAAAATTCCTTATTTATTATAACTTTTAAGTTGGGGGGATATTCCAGAGGAGCTTCTTAGATTTGGATATAGATGGGGAAAGAGGTGTTTGGTCTGAATGTCTAAAATTTCAACTTGATTAGAATATTCATTTTTGCAGAAAATGTGCTTTTGCATTTAGGGTTATTCCTTAATATAAAGTTAAGTTGAAGACCTTTAAGAAAAACGCAAATGAAACAGTTTCCAAATTGTTAATTTACTTCAGTTCTTGCAAATTTGTTATAATGGATTTATCTTGGCATGAACATTTCTCTTAAGTTTTGTCAGTTTGAGAAACCCCAACACTTGTAATGTACATAGCTTCTTCTAATAAAGGGTCCTTGTTACATAATTTATGTGACAGTATTCACATATCCCACAGATTCATCTCTCCTAAGCACAGCTTAGTTAATTTTTCCACATTACATCAGATTGTTTCTGTAACCTATGTAAATCAGAGTTGAATTTTTACCAGTGTTCATAAAATACAGTAAAATAGTCTATATTTAGGTTAAATTACTTCCTTTAGGATGAACTTGTAGCTATTTCATATATCTCAAGTTTGTAGGGTTTATGGCACCAGGTTTCAACTTCATTCCTACTTCAGGTTCTCAGCCATTTGAACAATCCAGGCAGGAACAGCTCCTTATCTTACAGAAACAAGTGAATGTTTCTGTTAGTATCCATTCTGCATGGTGGTGGTTTTGTTTGGTTTTGGGGGGGGGGGGAATGTAATACACTTGATTCATTTAGTACTTTTTCCCTTACAGATATTACTACCAAAGGGGTATTCTTGCAAAGGTTGAAGGACAGAGGCTTGTATATCAGTTCAAGGATATGCCTAAAAACATAGTGGTCATAGATGATGACAAAAGTGAAACGTGTAATGAAGATTTAGCAGCAGCTACTGATGAAAAATCATTAGAACGAGTGTCACTGTCCGCAGAAAGTCTCCTGAAAGCAACCTCTGTTCGTGGTGGGAAAAACTCATCTCCTCTAAACTGCTCCAGAGCAGAGAAGGGTGTAGCTAGAGTTGTGAATATCACTTCCCCTGGTCATGATGCTTCATCCAGGTCTCCTACTACCACCACATCTGTATCAGCAACAGCAGCTCCAAGGTATGTGAGGGAAACTGTCAGTTGTATTTACTTTTTAGAACATTCCTTGGCAAAATATGTTCTTTTTTTAATGTTAGCATTCTAACAACCCACTGTTGGTCAGGATATTGAAAATATACCTGATATTTTAAATGTACTTTGTTGTTGTTGTTAAAATAGGTGATGTCTCATTTAACCTGATTGGTTTTTATGGTTTTATAGATGGAACTTAATGTGGGCTTTAGTTTTCTAAGTATATTTATTTCATGGTAGTTAATATTCCATATGTCAGGGATTATCAGTACATATGTAAAATTTGGAAGCACTAGTGTGTATATTTTGTACTTGCATTCATCTTTTGCTCAAGAAACCCATTTTCTAATTTAGCATTAAATACAGTCTCTTTTTTTTTAAATTTACTAGGACAGTTCGTGTGGCAATGCAAGTTCCTGTTGTAATGACATCGCTGGGTCAGAAAATTTCAACTGTGGCAGTTCAGTCAGTTAATGCAGGTGCACCATTAATAACCAGCACTAGTCCAACAACAGCAACCTCTCCAAAGGTAGTTATTCAGACAATCCCTACTGTGATGCCAGCCTCTACTGAAAATGGAGAAAAAATCACCATGCAGCCTGCCAAAATTATCACCATCCCAGCTACACAGCTTGCACAGTGTCAACTGCAGACAAAGTCAAATCTGACTGGGTCAGGAAGCATTAACATCGTTGGAACCCCACTGGCTGTGAGAGCACTTACTCCTGTTTCCATAGCCCATGGTGCACCTGTAATGAGACTATCAGTGCCTGCTCAACAGGCATCTGGCCAGACTCCTCCCCGAGTTATCAGTGCGGTCATAAAAGGGCCAGAGGTTAAATCAGAGGCAGTGGCAATAAAGCAGGAACATGATGTGAAAACTTTGCAGCTGGTACAAGAAGAAAAACCTGCAGATGGAAATAAGACAGTGACCCACGTAGTGGTTGTCAGTGCGCCTTCAGCTATTGCCCTTCCTGTAACGATGAAAACGGAAGGACTAGTGACATGTGAGAAATAAAATAGCAGCTCTGCCCTTGACTTTAGACTGTTAGTGATAGTACTAACATAAATATTTGCAAGGGATGCCATCAAGAAAAGTCAAAAGGAGACTTTAAAACATTTTTAATGCATATAGGAAAACAATCAAACTTACTGGAAATAAGTTACCTATCCCATGTTTCAGTGGGAAATGAACTACATATTGAGATGCTGACAGAAAACTGCCTCTTACAGTAGGAAACAACTGAACCCATCAATAAAAAGGATTGAAAGGGACCAAGCAACTCACTACAATATCAAGTTACACTAAGACTTGGAACACTAATGTTCTGTAAGAGGTTATAGTTTTCAGTGGGGAGGGGTTGGGATGGGTGATCTCATTGTTACATATAGCAATTTTTGATGCATTTTATATGCATACCAGCAATTATTACTGTGTTCACACAGAACTCACTTAACTGGTGCTATGTGAAGACTCTGCTAATATAGGTATTTTAGAATGTGAATTGAAGAATGGATCCAAAAGCTTCAGAAAGAGGATAGCAAAAAAGATCTAGTGCGATTTTTTTTTTTTTTTTTTTAATATCATATAGCTTAAGCTGATTTAAAACAAAGGCCTTAGACTAATTTTCGGTTTTCTTTATTGAAATAAGCTAATGGCTTGTTTGTGTAAAGCTTTTTTTATTAAAAGAATTTTAAAAATCTTGTACCTAGCACAGTATTGTTATAGAATTTACATGTAACATTTTATATGGTAGTTTAAGTCTGTCAGTTTCTTAATTGTGGACAAATTAACAGTTGGCTCTGGCCTTTTGCTGTAACATGCCTGTGTCACTCACTTAGCCCTGTCATCTGTGCAGACATCAGTTTCAGTTCTCCTGTCACTTGGAAGTTAAGGCTCAGCATGAATTTTTGTCAGGTAATTCTTAATACCTGGAGTTTTCTTTCTTTTTTCTTTTTTTTTTTTTAGTTGAAGTTTAAGAGGGAAAGTACCAGTGTTCAGATTTGAACTATAATAGTTTGTATATTCAACATTTGAAGTATATTCTATTTTGTTGTACTCTTGTTTCAAAGTGTATTCAAGTAGGTTTTCTGAAATATAGAAATTTATCTTGCATTTTGGTCTCTGGTGATATTTATAACTATTCAAAAGCTAGTAGAGACATCATTTTAGTTAAGAAGTCCTGCTTCTCCTTCCCAGCTACTGCGTAAGAAATCCTACTTCTGTTTTGTTCTTTTATGTTACTATTTGGCAAATACCTGCAAGTAGCCACTTTCTAATTACTGTCGTGAACTATAATGTTCTACTTATCATAATGAATTTGCTATTTTAATGTTGGCCACACTTAAAGAATTTATATTTTAAATCAAGACCATTTGTTTCTCAATCATACTTTTTGAGGGTTAAGAAGAACAAGTAATACTCTGGCCCTTTTACAAATGAGGAAGTGGAGGTACCAGAGGGATTACATGAGTTTCTGAATTTCACACCAGACTAGGTCGTGTAACTCCACATCTTAATGCTTTCTACTACAAAAGAAAAGTTGTCTATTTTTACATCTTTTAGAAATTTAAATAAATTGAAACAATATTTTGTGGCCTTTAAATTGTACATTCCTTCTGATACTAAAGTTGACAAAGATTTTTATAACCACTCCCTTTTGTAATCTTTTATCTTTTCCATAAACATTCCTGATGGTACTTTAATAAAAGCTCAAAGAAAAACTCACCTGATTCTTACCCCATTTGAGAGTTAATCTCAAATTCTATCTCTTTAAACATTTCCTACTCTATGCTTTGGCAATTAACTGCATTCTTTTCTAAAAAATTTATTGTTGAAAGTACTGCAGATGTTCTCCCCCTTTTCCCCAAACGGACCCTCTCCACCCCACTCCTGCCCCCCCAGGCGTTCACTGTGCCCATGGGTTATGCATATATGCATATAAGTCCCGCTCTTCCCGCTCCTCCACTTCCCCAGTTGTATTCTTTTTTGCACTGCAGTTCCATTTGTTGAGTCATGTCTTCCATAATACTGTTGTAGGGCAAAGATTATAGATTCTACCTTATCTACACCCCTCCCCAAGTGCTGAGCATATTGGACATGGACATTTATTGATTTTGGTAACGTTTGCTAAGAATATAAGTCATTCTGTGGAGGACAGCTAAAGAAACTTAAATTTTTAGTTCTTTTCCCCTGTGCTGTATTAATTGGTTCTAATTAGGTGAAACCAGGGCTACCTAGCTTCCTCCACCACTCTACCTGAACACTTTTGTGTACCTCTTTCAGAATAAGTACACCTATGGTCTAAATTTGGAAACATATTGACAACAGTATACATTGACTGGAGTGTGTCTGGTGATGGACATTACCAGTTGTATGGCTTTTAATCTCAACCCTTTTGAACTGTAAATCATACTTGCTTTTTGTGTCCAGTATATTGGAGAACTACCTAACGATAGCTTAATTAATCTAGTTTCCAGCCTCACCAGGCTTTTGAACAGTGACTAATCAGCAGTCTGTCCATTTATTCCTCAGGTAATCTAGCAACAATTCTAGCCTTCACCACCCTGCTTACCAAATGACCAGTACACCACTTTACAGAGAACAGGGAGGTCATGAGCTGTAAACTCCCCCACTTTCAGGAACCCTTGCTATAGGACTATTTATTCCAGCATGTATTGTTACCTATCTCTGGAGGGAGGGAGGCAGGTGTGCCTTCTTCCTGTACTAGCATCTCCTCCCCTTTCTCACCTACTTGGTTTCCTTGTTCCATCATTCTTGAGTAACTTGAAGTCTGAATTCTGGCTTAGAAACAGTTCTTGTTGAGTGGTTAAATCAAACAGATACTTTATTGGTTAAGTCAAACAGATACTTTATTTTTATATATTTTTTTCATATGATCTTGTGCCTCAACCTCCTTAAAATTCTCTTGGTTTTCCATAACGCCCCTCTTGCAGTTTATCTCCTGCCTGACCAACTCTTCTTAGTTCATTTCACTTTCTCCTTCAGCTTTCCCATTTAATGTCTATGGGGTTCTTCCTCATAGTTGTAAGAATTGAGTTAATATGTTAAGGATTTAGAACCAGTGCCTGGCACATAGCAAGCACTCTATTAAATGTTTACTATTAATGATTTCACCTCAACGTAAATGTTAATCTCATTCATGCGTATGGTTTGTACTACAAATATATTGTTCTAGCCTATACTTGAAGCCTTAAATGGGATTATCTAATTGCTAACTGGCTTTTCCTCCTGAATGTCCAATTGAACTCTTCCGTCTAAAATCTGTTCCTCTTAGCTCAATAAATGATGTTGCCAGTAACCCATTACTCCTTAGCCTCCATGACAACCTTGCTCTTACTTGTGCTTTTCCTGGTAACCTCCCATAACTGACTCCCCCTACCGCTAGTAATATATTTTGTCTTCAGCTGAAGATCTTATTTATGGTGGTGGCCTCAGCCATTTTGGTGAGTTACAAGTGTTTTCCTGGATCTCTCCCATGTATATGGGAGGTATACATGTTATTAAACTTGCTTTGTTTTTCTCCTGTTCATCTTTTATTACAGGATGTCTCAACCAAGAACCTTAAAAGGAAAGAAGGAACATTCCCCCCACCCCTACAGAGCAATAGGCTATACCATTCAGCCTAGGTGTGTAATGGCTTATAACAACCTCAGTTTGTGTAAGTACACTCTACGATGTTCACGATGATAAAACCCGCTAACGATGCATTTCTTGGAACATATCCCTATCATTAAGGTAGCAGGTGACTGAATTGGTGGACATTTGAAATTCACATACTACTTTGGCTTTCATTCTCATTCAGATTTGCTTAGTCAAGGCTGCTGTGATAATCTCTTCAGGTTGGTGTACTTTGGGGTAGGTAAACAATAGTTAATGCTTGTACTTGTAAGTATTCCAATCAGTGTGTTTCTCACCAACATGATTATTAGTCATGCTAAGATTTGAACCAAACAGTACAGTTGTTCTTTCTGCTTGACATTCCTTCCAGGTAGCCCCAACATTTTATGTATACAGTACTGAAAAATGTCATTTGTTTCAAAAGTTGTTCCAATGCAGAATAGTTGGGTGAACCATGGCACTGAGATAACATAAGTGTAAGCACAGCAAAGATGCCTTCAATGTGCAGTTAGAGATCTGCCGTTGTCCACTTTAAAAATGAAGATCTGTTTGTAAATGAATAGTGCGGGCCACACAGTAGTAAAAGATCAAATCTATCCCATATTCTTTTGGGACTAAAAAGACAAGATACTAAAAGTACTATTTTAAGAGACCATTTATTAATCTAAATATATACAACTTTAATTCACAGACATACTCATTGATTTATTACCAATAGGTTATTTGTTGGGATTTTGTTTAGAAGGGGCTTCACCTGTTATCTTGACTACTTTCCCAGTGAAAGAGAATTCCAGGTTATCTTTTACATTCTTTGTAGACGCTTTGAACCAATCACCTGGCTATCTGAGGAAATTGCAATGACAGCCTTGTAAATAGGCTTTCTAGTTTCCCATCTCTGAAAAGAAGGTCCCACTGACTTTATTAGCCACTGCCACCTAACAGCTAAATAACCTATTGTGAAAAGCACATTCCAATGCAAATCATGACACTGAATGACATTCCAATGGAAAACTATAAATGCATATGTGATTGAAGACTGGCCGGTCATGGAATCTCTTCAAGAAATACAATAATGGGGAACATGGAGGCACAGCAAGAATTATTATGAAGAACTTATCAAGACCAGCTATTTCCACTTAAAAAAAAACAATAAACCCGGGGCCTCCAGGCTAAACAGTTCCTTTGTACACTACTACTTTGTTAGACCTCAAAAACATCTTAAAGCCTTAAGAAAATTACTATAAATTACTCTATAACTTATGATTTGCATGGTTTAAAAATGTTTATGCTGTAATTTATTAGTTTTACATGAAGATATAAAAAATAAATATTGCCATGCATATCTTGACATTTAAAACCACAAATAACTTGAAATACTGTCTAGAGAAATTGCTCCTGCATACTTGTTAATTATGGAAGACTCAAAGTATTTTTATATAGCATCATCAAACTGAAAGCGTCAAAACAAGCCTAATTTAATGCCCTTAATTGATCTAAATGTAATGCTAGGGGGAAAGAAAACAATACAAGCCAAAACTGGAGTGCAAAACACCTTTTTCACTGCAGGTTTTAATGGAAAAGGTTTGTGAACTAGTGGGATTCCTTCCCAAGGGCATGCTGGACACATGGAAAGTAAAGTGAGAGAAACTGGGATTCCTTCCTTAGGCAACTTCTCATTCTATTTCAGTGTCCTGAAACATCCCTGGTTAAGATTGGTGATTTAAAAAAAACCGTAAGGGTTTATGAAAGTCCATCAGGTTCCTCATTAAAGCTGAAGTCACACACTAGAGACAGGTGGTCTGAAGGATAATTGAAGGATGGTAGCCGGTTGGCCCCAATCTGTTCTTCAGTGAGCAAATCAAGAGCTGACCTCACACTTAGAGCATGTTTAGAATACCAGATATAGTCCAGGGTGTGCCGGTACTCTCCTGAGGTCCGGATCTTCCAGGTAGTATATGGAGGTTCCGACTGCCCATCAGCACTCAGGAGCTTGTAGGCGCTGTTCAGGTTGAGACTAGAGGAAGCAAAGTGTTTGTAGACCTCCTCCGTTGGCTCTGCATTGAAGTCCCCACAAACGATAAGGGGAATCTTGGCTCCTTGGGTGATGTTGTGCAGGTTCCGGAGAAGGTCACAGCCTTGAGCTGACCGAAGCTGCTCCCAGCCAGTGCGTGCTTTTAAGTGGGTGACAGCGATGCATAACTGTCGACTTGACTCCTTGCACTCTAGGGTCTGTGCAATGGCCACCTGGTTGGTTTTCAATCTCATGGCTGTCAGCCTAATATTGTAACTGTGGATCAGCTTGAATCGGTTCTGGAGAAAAAACAAGGCACAGCCATCTGGTCCATTATTATGTTCTACATCCAGACAAGGGGACCAGGGCTTGGGGAAAAAAGTGCCTTGATAGCCCAGTCTGCTGAGGAGTGGTTGGAAGGTGTCAAAGTAGTGGTCCACCTCTTGGAGGCACAATATATCGGGCTGGTAGGCTAGGATTTCTTCTAGGATGAGACATTTCCTTTCTTCCCACTTGAGTGCTTCAATAGGGCATTGTGCAAAGTTGTCTTTGCCTTCTCCAAGAGCTGAAATTAAAAATTTTGTCACTTGTCAGCTACTACAGAACCATGACTTCTAAGTACCTGGGAGTCTCCTTGGGTTTGATAAGACTTAATACCCTCTCGGCACTTCCTGCTTCAGGTGACTGCCTAAACTGCAGTAATCCAACAAACTAAAAAACCTCTTACCATCTAGATGAAGCAATCAACTGATTTTCTTTTACATTAAAACTATTTCATGGACATAATATTTTAAGTTTTAGCTTTAAATGGTGTTCTTTGCAGTTCCAGGGATCTAAACTATGTCAGATGAGATAAATATATTTAACTCTACATTGACTAATAAGCCACATGAATTGATAGACACCACTCAGAATGGATGGGACCCACTTTAAATGGGCAGCTTTTCCTACTTATGGACGATCATCTGGAAAAAAATAAATGAACCAAAGACTGGGGGGTCAGCAAGAATGCCCTTTTCTAGGGCAAAAAGTGGCCCTTGTTCCTTTTTCTTAAAATTTCTACTGCTACATGAGATATACTACGGGAAGTTGACTGACACATCTATTTTTTAATTCAACAGACTCAGGAAAGGATTCTTTTCTGCCATAACAATCTAATATCTTAATGAGCAGAGAAATGAAGCAACATCTCTGGCTTCAATTATACAGATGTATATGGATGAGAATCTGGCCATAAGAGAACTCAGGTTTAGCATCACCCACACACGGTTCCCATTCCCTGCAAAAAGTTCCATGCTACCCATTCAGGAGACTCAGTTTCTCCCTTGCAAATGCTATCTTAGTGCTGTGGACTAAAAAGTGGAGACAACAGAAAGTTCTGAGGCTGGTAAGACAGGGCCCTTTCGATTTTGATGTGCTGGGAAACAGACCTTCATTGTTACTTGGATGGCCTTACAAACATGGGAGGTAAGGAATGAATTTTGAGTTGCTGGATTTATTAGTGAAAACCTGATGACTGGCTTTCCTAACTTGCCTTTCTGGGAGCTCACACTGTCCTTGTCACACCATCCTACACTTGCATCTGCCCACACCCCTTTCCCTCCACATAAGACATTGGTGCACCGGGAATGTGCAGAAGCAGAAAGGCGGTCACCACAAACTTAACTGCTCAGGAACAAAAGCATCAGGCATACCTTGGGCGAGGATGTTCCACTGCATGACTCTAATAGGCTGGTGGCTACTGGGGCAATCTGTCCTCAGATCCACAAAATCCCTTTGGAACCGGGGAGGTCGAGTGTGCAGGACTGCCCTGCATTCCTCAAGGAGCTCTTTAGGATCAATGGGCTCCAGATGTTCTGGGTCAGTTGACTCCAAATACTCTGAATGCTGGGAGGCACGGCTGCTGATCAGTGTCTTGGCGAGAGCACTATAGAGTCTGCTCGTACCGTTTCCCATGGAACGTGCTATAGGAAAGAAAAGGAAAGCACAATTACACACTCAGCTCCTTTTTCTGCCTGTCTTCCATTTTCATCCAGCTCAACTGCAAGGTAAAGCTTTTACTGTCCATAGAAGCAAAGACCTTAATTTAGGGCAGTTCTGCCATTAGCACAGAGATGTGTTAAAGGCGTTTCATGTTCTACCTTTCTACTAGGACAGGTAATTGAAAATACTATTTAAATTGGTCTCTGAGAACTAAGATAATTCTTTTAAGAGAAAAATACACCTTGATGTTTACGGCTTCTAACATATTTGTCTTTATAATTTATAAACACAGTCTTGGGAAAGCATGGCTAAAACAAAATTCCCATTCTTTTCTACATATTTAAATAAGAACTTGAAAACCAGTTTTGTAAAGAGGCAGATGTTAGAAAGCCCATGTTAATCCTCGAGAAGAGATTAGGTTATAGCAGGCTGCTGCTCTAGCATGTCATCTATCCAGATCCCTCCGTTAGGGGAAGAAATGGCTGGATTAAACCCAGACCCCATTTCTCATAGATGTTAACTGTAAAGCAGGGCTCTGGCTTTCTGTGAACCCCATTGAGCAACAAAGTCGACAATCTATTATCAATTGCCAGATTTTTTAAAAATCAGAAGGGATTGGAAGAGACAAGGGGGTAAGAGACAGTTGCCCACTTTTCCTGGGATCCTGGAGGGAGAACGGGCAAGGAGATGTACTGGAGGCATAGTCTTGAGCATTTTCCAGTGCTTCGCTTTTTATCTTAATCATAAATCATTAAGGAGAACAGAGCACAACCTTCAACTAATTAGCATGAGGGAAGTTGTGCCTGCCACTTCACTTGCAAGCAGTAGATTGCTGCTTTCTCTTCACCGTGGTATAGTTTAAGGGCATGTTTTACTTGGAACTACCTCCAAAATTCTGTGCATGACGAACCTTTGTGTGGAAGGATCTGGATTTCCCTACCACAGCCATATCTTTGCCTTCTTTTGAAAGACACAAAATTTTATGTATACATTAACAATACATTATTTGGCAGCCCAAAGGGCTGTATCTGAAACTAGATGTCAGTCAAATTCACTGTGGCAGGTCATAAGAGAAAATTCAAATATTTACCACTAAACGTCTTTTAAACATCAAGGTCAATAAACATGCAAGCATGGTCCCATTCCTTTTCATCAACTCAAAGTAGTTTTTTCCCAGTAAGAAAACTAGATTAAGGCAAAGAAGCACACCCCAGTTTTCCCAACATTTAAGTGTACATGCATCAGCAAGCAAGACTGTTCTTTTTCACACACAAGCACATGCACAAATGCACACACACACACCTGTTTCAAAACTGATTTAAATATATTAAGTTCAAATATATCTGCTCGCCTGTCTGAATATAAGGGTCGAAAGGAAGAAATATTCTTGGCTGGCAGTACAACTTTGAAGACCTTTCTGTACTACTATATATACATATATTTAAAAGCAGTTAAAGTCTTACTGGTTTCTCAAGTGTGGTCTCCAGATCAGCATCACAACAATAAGCCAGTGTCACAGGGGCCCAATGGAATGTTTTAAATTTGAAGCAAACAGTAATACTTGACATCTGCCAGACTCTAGGAACTACTAGCTCAATGTAGTTCAGTTTCAACAGGATTGTTCTACATCACTTTGATGACATATTTGTGCAAGCTGAGTTTTGGGGTGGTTACTGTGATAAAAAGCAAGCATGTGAAAATGACTGAAAAGGAGGGTAAGTGTCCACTGAGAGTTCAAGGTTTGAGCTGTTATGTGAGCCAGAAAAATTGCCCGAACCACACAGTTCTAGAAACTTAGAAAAACCTTCAGATAAGAGAATATGGAACAGAATAACATCTGTTCAGACAACGAAAGCATGCCAGAAAGACATGCCCAGAAAGCAAATCAAAACTGTACCCTATTGCAAAATGAGTGGTAGGTGATTAAGAAAATGGTAGAATGGCCTAAATCATAATGGGAAAACAGAGAAATGGGGAGATACAGCATTTGAGAGAGAGTGGCAAGTATTATGTTCTTATGTTAAGCAAAGAAGATCCAACACATGAATAACAGTTCTTGTAGCAGGAAAACCAATGCATAGAAATGAAACCCTAAAAACTATAAATCAAAAGTTTGAGTGCAAAGTTTCAATCATGCAGGATGGATTAAGCTGTGGAATTCTAAAATATAACGTGGTGACTAGTTAATAAGACTGTATTATATATTCAAAATCTTGAAGAGTAATAAACCTTGTGTTTTCACCACACACACATAGCTATGATGACAGATATGTTAATTAGCATGATTGAGGTATTCATTTCACAACGTATACACATCAAAACATGTACACCTTAAATATGTATTTTTTATTTGTTAATTATACCTCAATAAAGCTGGAAAAACAATTTTTAAAAAATCAAGTTAAAAATTGTATCAAACATCAATGCACAAAGCTTTGCCTTATCTTTGTTACTCTAAAAAAGAAATTGTAAAGCAAAACAATCCTTGAAAGCTACTTACTGAAATAGCACACCACATACCTGAGAATATCAACCCAGAATGACCAACACCAACTGGACTGTAAAGAGAAAAAAGTCCCTTGGGCATCTAGGCAAAAACAGCAAGTAACTTATAAGGAAAATAATATGTAGCTCATCTATATGTGACCCAATTTTATTTTATATCCAGCGAAAAATAGGAATGTTGACTTTAGGAGCCCTTCTTGAGGAAACTACTAGAGCAGGGGTTGGCAAACTACAGCCAGAGGCATTTTTGCACAGTCCTTGAGCTAAGAATGGTTTTAAAGGTTGTTATGCGACACCAGACACTACTATAACCCACTGGGGATATATCAGGAAACAGATTAAACTTTCTGCCCTCATGGAGCTTATGTTGTAGTGGGGGAAGACAGACAAGATGATAGCTTGTCATATGGTAAAAGTGCTATGGAGAAAAACAAAGGAGAAAGGGCAAACGGAGTTGCTAATTTATATAGGCTCAACGAGGCCTCACTGAAAGGTGAAATGTGAGCTGAGACCTGAGGTGGTAAGGAAATCAGTAAGTCTCACGTAGATCCAGTGTAAGAACACTCTGGGCAGAGGAATAGCAAATGCAAAAGCCTGAGGAAGGAACATGCTTGGCAAGGGGACTGGAGTGACTTACAGAGTAACTAGAAGATGAGGTCAGTGAGGACAGGGGAGCCGGTCAAGCAGGGCCTCATTGGCCATTCTAAGGACTTGAGCCTTTATCTCAGATGGGCAGCTGTGGACAATTTTAGGAAGGAGCGAGGATCTGATTTACATTAAAAGAAAAACCTCACTGGCTGATGTATTAAAAATACACTATACTGTGGGGAAGTAGGGGCAGGCATAGGAAACCCATTAGAGGACAGTTATAATAATCTAGGCAACAGACACTGGTAGCTTGGACTAGTGGTAACAAAGTGGTGGGATTCTGAGTAAATCGAAACTGGAGCCAGCAAGTTTTGTTCATGACTTGGACATGAGGAGTCATGTCAAAAGGCCTGCCTCCCGCCCGGCCAGGCATGGTTCCGCTCTTGAGCATCGACCTAGGACCCAGGAGACCGCAGTCCGATTCCTGGTCAGGGCACATGCCGGGGTTGTGGGCTTGCTCCCCAGTTGGGGGCGTGCAGGAGGCAGCCAATCAATGACAACTCATCATCCACGTTTCAACTCTCTCCCTCTCCCTTCCTCTCTCTGAAATCAATAGATATTTTTTAAAAAATGCCTGCCTCCAAGGTTGCCAGTCGGGCACCTAGAAGGGTGAAGCTGCCAATACCCATTGGGAAGATTTGGTGAGTTTGCAGAAAATAGAAGAGTTTGGCAATTAGATGAGACTGATGTTTAGGAGAAAGGCACAAACTGGAAACCAATGTCTGGGAGATGTTAGTGGACAGCACACCAAAGTGACTTTAGGGAGAAAATAGGTCACAGGATTGAGTTCTGGGGCAGACTGGGGAAGATGGGCTAAATGTCTGCAAAGATGGCATGGCCAGGGAAGCAGGAGAAAAGCAAGGTGAGCCTGATCTTCCTGGAAACAGTGTCTCAGCCATAAGGTGGTCATCTTCTGTATCATGTGCTACATACAGGGCAGTGCAAGGGAAAGGAAGACTGAGAACAGACCTGGATTTGGCAACGTGGAAAACGCCAGTGATTTTAACAGCGAATTCTGGGGTTTGGTGGAGGTGTGGGGAGATGAGGAAATAGGACAGAGAGAAGTATTTGCGGAAAATTGGCCCCTAAAGGAGAGAAATGGGGTAGTGACTAGAGATGGAGGCAAGAGCATGTGGGGAAACTATTATACCATGTTTATTGTTGGCCAACTGGGGTAACGCAGGAGGGGAACCCAATGAAGCAGGACTCGGGCAGGACAGCATGAGGATACTGTCAAATCCTCTCCCCAAAAGGCAACCATAAACCTGGACAGAGATGTCAAAACCAGCTGCTCCCGTGGCCTGGGTATGGACCACAGGCATGCAACAAACTGGGACGCGCTTATTCCTCGAGCCCAGGAGCTTCAGGTCAGAACAGCGCTACTCTGAGACATTCCGCCCTTCCTCCCCCTCCGATCTGTGGCACTAATTCAACCAGGGCGGCAAAGAGATGGAGTTATTAAGTTAATCTTCCCACAAAGAAAAGCCCAAGTTGCGGTGGCTTCACTGGTCAGTCTATCAAACATTTAAATAAGAAATAATACCGCCCTAGCCAGTTTGGCTCAGTGGCTAAGAGTGTTGGCCTGTGGACAGAAGGGTCCCAGGTTCGATTCTGGCCAAGGGCACATACCTTGGTAGCAGGCTTGATCCCTGCCCCACTTGGGGCGGGAGGCAACCAATCCATGCCTCTCCCCCCCTTCCTCTCTCTCTGAAAAGCAATGGGGGAAAAATAAAAAGAGAAAAAGAATACCAATAATTCACAAACTCCAGTGTACTTCCCATGCACAGCCACTCTAGAAGACAATTTGGCAGTTTTATAATCAAGCATGGATTTAACATATGGCCTAGAATTCATGCCCCTAGGTATTTACCTGAGTGAACTAAAAAATTAGGTTCATGCAAAACTACATATGCAAATGTTTATAAGCCGTTTCATTCATCATTGCCAAAATTGGAAGCAACCAAGGAGCCTTTCATCGTGCAAATGGATAAATGACTGGTACACCCATACAATGCAATAGTATGCAGTAATAAAAAGAAACAAGCTGTTGACTTGCAAGATTCATCCATGCAACATGGGTGGATCTCAAACGCATTTCAAATGTCAGCCAGGAGATGCAGGGGATCTCAAGAGGGGATACAGACTTTGACAAATGAATTAATTACCAGGCTTGGGAATTAATAACTAAACAAGAACACTATGAAGACTCCACATACTATTTTTATACTTTTAACACAATACCAAGACTTAGACCCACTTTAAGAACTGCAATGTAGTAAGGCCATTTACAAAAACAAAAAAAGGCTAAAGATTATGGGGCACCTTTCTCTCCCTCTCCCATCCTAAGAATGACGCTGGTGACAATACAGCTAATGACTACTGAATGCTTAATACATGCACCATTCACAGATTCTGCTGGCTTTTAGTGTATTTTCAATGATCACAATCCTGGGAGGTAGCTACTCCTATTATGCCGCTTTTAGGATGAGGAAATAACTTAGTAACAAGTCTCACTGTCTCTCACTTGTTCTTAAAAACATTCACTTTTTTTAAAGTTTGAACCATTAAAAAAAAGTCTTTTCACCCATAAACACGTCTGATTGCAATATTTCAAGCCATTCTACTGAAGTTATGCTTTAGTAGGACATTAAAAAATTGCCAAAGGTTCAGAATAGCTCAACACCAAAAGCCGATTTCCTGAGGTGAGAGCGCATAAATAAATAATCAGGGTTTGATGATAAGAGATTGAAAAATACAAAATCTTGATAAAACCTCTGCTGAAATCTGGCACTCATACTGGCTTCTAGGTTCCAATTTTATATGTGTTTGGATATGGGTATTTTCTATTAAACCCCATATTGTATCCGGTTTTTTACCAATACTTTTTCCCTTGGGCCACTTCAGGAGAAAAAGTATCAGCCATCATTCTCTGTGATATGTGTTATATCATTTATACAGGCAACAGGCAGATCAAGATAGCTTTATTTCTTATGCCTGGCTGTTCATTTAGCAACACCACGCCTACCCCTTGCCACTGCCTAATTCCAGAAGCATGTTTCCCTACACGTGTAGAACTGGATGCCTTCACGCTGTGCGTTATTGCTAATTCCTCGCTGCTCTTTTACTTTATAGGAGTTAAAAACCCTCCTTACCCTTATGATATAGTACTTACAGATGTGCCAGAGAATTCAGATTATGTAGAATACATGTTACCCTTCATTTTGCCCGTCACCACGTCCAGAGCAAAAGCAGACCGCAAGGCAAGCTCCCAGAGGGCTGAGCACGAGTTTGGAAACGATCAGGGGCTGATGATCAGAATGCCGGTAAGAACCCTATCAGCTGAGACCCAAACCGACGGGGACCCCCACTCCCCGCGGCCCTGACAGCACCCACAAATCACAGCGGAGGGACCTCTGCCCACATACCCTCCTCCAGTGACCCAGCAATTGCTTCTTCCCGAGTCTGCCCAAAGCATTCGGTCCGTGAATAATTTCTCTCACCGTGAAGTTGGAGCTTAGTCTCTTCAAACCGGGGCTTGGCAAAACCGCGAATTAAAAACCAAAAACTCAACCAGAGAAAAGGTCATCTGGGTACACACCTGGGACGCGGCGGAGCTGACCCGCCGCGGGCCCACGGAAACCTTGACGGGTAAAAGTGCACAAAAACTGTAAACGACAGACGTCACAGGAAGGCGCCCCCGAGCGGTCCTGTGCTGCCACCTGGTGGCCGCGCGCTGAGCCGCCTCAGCCAGCGCGGCCGGCGAATCCCACCCAGCGGCAGGCCCCTCAGGGCGGGCTCCTGAATAAACGCGGCCACCCTCGAGACTCTCACAAGATAACCACTGACATAAAGCAGCCTGGATACTGGATTTGTGGCATCTTTATTTAAAACACTGCAGAAATCAATCAAGATTCCTAACCCCCCTGCCTGCACAGCTTTAGGAATCAAGCCCATGGCTGGGTGTGGCTCAGTGGTTGAGCATCGACCTAGGATCCAGATTCCCAGTCAGGGCACATGCCCCGGTGCAGGCTCCATCCCAGCCAGGGGCGTGCAGGAGGCAGCCAATCAATGACTCTCTCATCATCGATGTTTCTCTCTCTCCCTCTCCTTTCCTCTCTCTGAAATCAATAAAGATATAGTTAAAAAACAAACAAAACATGCCCATGTCTCCCTTGACACCTTGTCTGCTTCTCTTATGTTGCTCTTGATATTTGAACAATTCCTGTCCTTCACTCCCTAGACTGTAAGCTCCAAGAGGGCAGGGACTGTTTACCTTGCTTACCCATCCCAGGGCTGAGTGTGAAGCTGCAGTACATTAATTCCTGGATCCTAGAGACTGGATTCTAAGTGCCAACTTAGGAAGACACCCTTTTCTGGTAAGTAAAAGTGAGATATTTTAGTCAGGGACCAGTCTTCAAATGTCTGTTACTGAGCACTGGTAACAGACTGTGCCAGGCATTCCTGCAGTCCTTAGTAAGTGAAAGCTTCATGGCCAAAGCTTTGACTTTTCTCAGCAAGATCAGGCTACAGTTCTAGAGGCAAATCATTCAAAGACATGACTCAAGTTAGGCTGCCTCGTTTCAAATTCTGGCTCCGTCTTTCACTAATAGCATTCCCGGAACAACTTATTTACCTCTCTGTGCCTCAGTTTCTTCATCTGGAGATCAGTGTGCAGCCTACTTCACTGGGCTGCTGTGAAAATTCGGTTAAACTAACTATACCCAGCACCTCCAAAGTGGTCAGCTAAATGTTAGCTATTCTGTTCCACCTAGTGAAGTTCACTTTCTGGGGTTCAGGAGAAGGCTGCTGTCATCTGACAGCCTAGCACGTGCCATACTCCTTCCACGTACTTTCATTCCTCTTCCCAACAATCCGGCAAAGCGGGTCCTGTGTTCGCCATTTCGCAGGTGTGGTGACAGGTTCAGAGACTGCAGTTTTCTCCGGGTTACATAACCAGGCACCTGGGGCCGGAGAAGGCTGCGTGCACCTTGGACCGCTCAGCAGCATCTCGGCCGGCCCCGAGTCAGGACGACGGCAGTGGAGCCCGGCCAGGGACACGCACAGGAATAAACAGAGGTCGAATTCCACCTCCTCCTGTTGACGTCACTGCCATCACAGCACACCGGCTGGCACAGCACAGAGTGTACAGAGCAGTGTAATGCCCCGCGTGGCACTGCTAGAGATACCAAGTAAAGGTCATGACTCTCAACCTAACGTGTCTAAAAATACAAGCACCTAGACACAGCGACAATCCCAATGACCTTTCTTTGCTAGGCAGCAGTCACAGAACAGGCAAGGCGGCCAAAGTGTTTTCCAGAAAGGCTGCGCTGTACCTTCGGTCCTGCCAGATTCACCTAGAAAATATTACTCTGGAAGAAATGCCCCCACAATAAAGGCCTTGGTTAGAACCTTTAGCTGGTGCTCAGTCGTCGGCTGGCCAGCCAATCATTTGCACATGTTGGGCTTTTCTAGCAAAATAAGGCTCTGCAGTGGAATGTGAAGAGGCAGAAACCAGACGACACTGGTGGGACAATGGCTGTCTACTTGGACCTCAGGCCTGCATTAGGACATGATGCCCACCACTAACATTCCTGGGAGACTCAAGGAAATGGTCCATTTTTACAGGTGTGAATGTAAATATGAAAGCTAAAAGGAATATTTTGCAGACAGTAGTACAGAGTTCTTCCCTCTAGATCAGGGGTTCACAAACTACATCCCACGAGTCACATCTGGCCAGTGCTTGTCTGTGCATTTGGCTGCCTCTGAGCTTTCACACTTTAAATACTGAAAAGAAAAAAAAAAAATCATAAGAACAATAATGTTTCATGACGTGAAAATTCTATGAAACTCAAATTTCAGTGTCTAATAAAGCTGATGGGTTAGTTATCTGTGGCTGCCCCCACGCTGCAATGGCAGAGGCAAGCCATGGCCTACAAAGCCTGAACTACTTCCTAACTCCCAGAGGTAAATTAAACATGGTTCTTCCAAAGGAAGATTCAATAAACTAAGCTGAGTCAAGAGAGACAAAGGCAGGAGACGCTGAGGGGCAAGTGTTAGGACAGTTCATTCAAGAATGGCATGTGGATCAGCTGGGCGAGTAGCACCACTCCTCTGCCACAGAAAGAAGGGGCAGGGTGGCTGCCTACTGTGGAAGGGCCTCAGTGGGAAGCAGACCGCGAGCTGACTCTGGATCTCAGGGATGTTATTTCTGAAAGGGGAGTGAGGAGTTAAACAGATAGGAGAACACAGAAAGAAGCCCTCCTTGCCACGGCCGAGGTGGAGGTCTCCAGCCCGCTCCCTCTCACTCAGGTGGATGGAAAGCCTGGCTGTCCACCCTCCTGCACAGCCTCTCCCGCCTTCAGGAGAGGCCTGAGAAACAGGCACACACATCTCTACCTACTAAAATTAATACAGGAGAATATTATGGACACAAAACACGAATTGGCTTCTATGAAAAATGGAGCAATCAGAAAACCAGAAAATGTCTAGGAATTTAAAATGACTGTGAAATAGAAATGTTCAGAAAATCTCACATAATAGGAGATAGACATGAAAAAAATGAGAGAGGAGACAGAGGATAGATCCATATGGCCAACAATCTGTCTAACAGAGTTTAAGAACACAAGAACAAGACAATAGAGTGGGCAAAATAATCCAAGAAATAACAGACATTTTTCTTGTGCGAAAGAATGGTACGTCTTTAGATGGCTCACCGATGCTGAGATGCTGATTCTGATGGAATTTTGGACAAGAACAAGAAAAATCCTGTGAGCTTCTAGAGATAATACATACAAAGAGATTTAAATTTCTGAGGGAAAAGGCTGTTATTAATGGGCATGTGTTACTTTTGTAATTTAAAAAAAAAATTTATTTAGACTCTGGCCAGGTAGCTCAGTTGGTTAGAGCGTCGCCTCACACATACATCAAGGCTATGATTTTGATACCTGGTCAGGGCCCGTACAAGAATCAACCAATGGATGGAGGCATAAGTAAGTGAAACAACAAATTAATGTTTCTCTCCCGCCCCCTCTAAAGTCAATAAATAAAATTAAAAAAAAAAAAAATCATGGTAGAAATTGTAGAGCACATGTCAGCCAAATCCATAAAATCTGACCTATAATTTGAAAGATGACATCTTCCTTTGGCAGTCCCTCCATGACAGTTAGCATCCATGAAAGCAAAATATTGAAAGGAAATACAAAACCATATATCCAAGGTATCATTAGAATCTGCTTTGCACACCGCCCTGGACGAAGCATTATGATATGAGTCATGAGCGTATCTGCATATCTGCAGATGGGCAGCCTGTCAGATGGCCCTGCCCCAAGTACTGGAAGTACAAAGAATTAGGAGAAAGGAAAGAAAAGGGAAAGAAGACAGTGGGGGAGGGTGTGACAAGTCTAAGGCACTTCCCAGACATCCCACTGCAGTAATTCTTTACCATAATTTTGGCTGCCTGCAACTTCCAGGCACTCACTTTCATTGACTTCTCATAAGAATAAGAAACTTAGTGAGAAACTTCTATCAGGCATCTAAGCATTTAGTAAAACAAGTGTCCTCCCTGGCTGTCCACCGGGCTGTACATCAGATGCTCAGGTGCCATTCTCGGATATGAAAACTCAGAAGATCTGAGTAGGGCCCACCCATTTTTTGATAGCGGAAGGAGAAAAAAAGATTTGACAGAATCAGTCAAATCTGATGGCAATAATTTTCTTTAGCTCTCTTTCCCCTAGGCACTCTCCTGCCCACATCCCTGTCAATAAATTCATGGTGGCTGGTATGTTTTCAAGTGTCGCTTTGAGACCATGCAGAGACAACAGGACAGCCAGCTAAGATTTCAATTGAGGTCTTACTTCTTCCTATGGGAAGTATGATTTCCCCTCTTCTAAAAATAAAAATAAATCCTAAATATTTTAGCTGCTTTTTGATAAAGCACAGGTGGCTCTCCTATGTAGCCAAACACCCAAGGATGTCATCTTTGGAATTTCTATTTACTAAAGTATGATGACCATTCAAGTGGTTATCAAGGTCCTATATATATATTTTTAAATTTTATTTTTGTTTAAAATATTACAGATGTCCCTTTTTCTCCCCAATGACCCGTTCCACCCTGTCCCTTCCCCTCCCCAGTCCCTCTCCCCACCATTGTCCCTGTCCTTGGGTTGTGCATATATGCATATATATTCTTTGGTTACTCTCTCCCCCTCCACCCACCCGCCCTCCTCCATCCCTCTGACATTCATCAGTCTCATCTATGCTTCCATGTCATTGAATCTATTCTGTTCATCAGTTTATTAAGTTCTTTAGATCCCACGTATAAGCAAGTTCATGTGATATTTGTCTTTCGCTGCCTGGCTTATTTCACTTAGCATAATATTCTCCAGGTCCATCCATACTGTCCCAAGGTCCTATATATTCTGATTAGAGTAGTGACTCCTCACAGCAAAGGCCTCCCTCCCTCCTCCTCCTTCCAAGAA